ACAAACCCTCCTTTCAGATAAGAGGATTTTACAGGGCTTTTGAAATAAGAAGTGGCTGGGCATGCAGCCAGCAGAGATCTGGGAGAAATGTGGCCTGGGTAGTAGAGCTGGGAGACCTGCCAAGATGGGGAAAGGATCCGCAAAGCAAAGGAGAGTGGTGGTTTCAGGTGGTGGTTACCCCGCCTTGTCTACACTCTGTTCATAAGATAACAGAGAGTGAAGTCAGATCCTCCCAGATCTCAACTGGTAAAGGCAGACCCAAGAGTGTGCATGGGGAAAAGATACAGAGAACAGGGCCGCTGGCTGAGGCCTGCTCTGCCTGAATCCATGCAACCCCAGCGGACACTTCCCAACATCAAAAGACCAGAGGAATCACAGTTTTCCACTTCAACACCACCTCTTTGTTGATTCCCTTCCAGCTCTCACAAACATGACAAGTAACAGACCAATGGGGGATGGCGCACACACGCGCACAGAGACACACACACACACACACACACACACACACACGCACGCACGAAGGTACCCTCGCCAGAGGGCCCTCTGCTTCCAGATTGCCTTTTCCTCCTTCCAAATTTGTCTCCAGGCTTAAAATAGTTTTCCTTAATGATTAAAATACATGAAAAAGGTGGAAATGATTCTGCAGATGGGGAAATCGGATTGCTTACTAAGTATGAGAAGAGACAGCTGCCCAACCTCAGCAGAAAACAGAGAAATGCAAAACAAAACAATGAGACACCAAATTATACCCCTCTGATTGGAAACCATTAGACAGTTGGACAATACTAAGTGTCGGATATGACGGGAGGATCTGAGGACCCTCAGGCACTGCAAGTGGGAGGGTAAACTGGTTTATACTCAAGGAAATCAAGTCTGAGCACCGTGGGACCCAGAAATCCCACTCCTACGTGACACCCCAGATGGTCTTGTACGGGTCCTCAGGAAGACACGTCCAAGGATGCAGCAAGGAGCTGAGTGTACAGACAAGGAGAGAAACAATGAATATGTGTCCATAAGGAAATTCATACAATGTAGAAATATATCATGAATCATAAATAAATACACGATAAAATAACAATCACCCACATTCACACATGTGCACGCACACATATATAGATTTCTTTGTGCATTCACATCAATATATATAATTTATCAATTTAAATAAGCTCATACTATACCTGCTGTTTTGTGACCTGGCCCGCTCACCAACATCCAGCAAGTACTATATCAACATCACCATTTTTACCAGCTGCACAGTCCTCCACTGTCAGCATTACCATAATTTATTTAACCAATGCCCAATTGTCGGATACATAGGTTATTTAAGGCTTTTCATTATCAAACAGAACTGCTCTGAACTTCGTTGCCCATGCATCTTTCTGTCCACTTCTAATTAATAAAATTAGAAGCAGAGTACGTATCAGTGTGAAAAATGTGCATGCCTTAGGAATGGAATTGCTTGGTTAAAGTTATATATATTTTTCACTACAATACACATTCTTTGCTTCTAATTTTAACAGTTTCCTTAGATCCACATTTTTTCTGTTGTCTGCCAAAGTGACTCCTTCAGGGAAAACAGAAAACTGGGCTAGGATTGCTGCTTCCTAAGCAATAATACTAACTATGCTCTTCCTCCCTTATCTGCATTGTTAAGAAAACGGAGGGCCGCCATGGGAACAAATCTTGACCTCACAGGTTTCCGGCATCAGCCACGCACCTAGTCACAGAGGACATTTTGAGAAGCATCAGCAATGCAAAATACTAGACGTTCAAAATTCGTTTGTTAAAAATATCTTTATGCCATGCCGGCTTGTGCTTGGAGCCACAGCAGGTGTCAGAGAGACACAAAGGATGAAGGCCCAGCCCTGCTCTTGGAAGCCCTCAGCCTGGGAAGGCAGAGGGACACATGCAGAGAGACTCAACTCCTGAGTAGAAAATTCAAAACTTGAGTATGTTCTGGGAGCACTGGGGGTCCTGGCTGGGACCAGGAGGAGGCTCAGAGGAGGCAACACAGGCAGCCAACAGCAGTGAGCTGGCCACGCAGTCTTGGTGGTGGAAGGGACTCCAGACAGAGGGTCAGAGACAAGACACGCAGGCCCGAGGCCACACGACACCTCCGGAGAACCCCTCAAAGTCCAGCAGGGCTGGAGCAGCAGGGAAAGCCGAGAGGGGGGCTCCCGAGGGAGGCGGGGCTCCCGAGGGAGTCAGGGCCCCAGTCACGAAGAGCCAGCCTTGCCACACGCTAAGGAGCTTGCGCATGGGGGCAAGGGGTGGGCAGAAAAAGGATGAGACCAGAAGAAGGAGGATGGACGGGAGTGTGGACAAGGTTGATGGCAGGAGCGCCAGCCTGAAGGATGCCGCTGTGACTCAGGAGACAAGGTCGACAGGTGCTGGCAGGTGGGGAAGCTTCTGTGGGGGAAGGTGTGTAGATGCAGGTGAGGGAGCCTTGGGGGGCAGGTGGTGATGGCCAGGATGCAGCTAAGGAGCTGGGAGAGGGAGCAGGTACAGAAGATGCTCAGCCAGCACAGAGGCATTCAAGGGACCTGATAAACCAAAATGTAGAGGACCATGAAAAGGCGGAAAGGTGACAGCACAGAACACCCAGCAGCGAGATGGGCTCTGGTCCTGCCTCAGTCACAGATTTGCAGAGTGTTCTAGAATCTTGTGGATGACTTACTCCACTCCCCGGTATGCAACATTCTGCTCTGCAAAGGAGTACGTGGGGACTGTGTGCCATCAAGGTCTCTGCCAGCTGTAAAATGCTGTAAGCTTCCGTCTACATCAGAAACCGGGGTGGCAGGTGTCCGCCTGCAAAGTCACCCCAACAAGAATGCCTTCTTGGGAAGACACAGATCACGGCCATAACTGGCTCCTCCTATGAATCGGACGGAACCTTCTTCCAACACTCTGCACACAAGGCAATGAGGACCCCTCCTTTCCAGGCCTGCGAGCCGGTGCTCCCACTCAGACACGCGCCTCAAGGCCCTCACATCTGGCCGCATGCTGCTTGCTTTCTCCCCCATTCCTGGGTAATAAGGAGCAGACTGGCAAAATAGTTCAAATACCTTCTTAAAAAGTACACGGCCTTGTGGGCTCGGTGGCCTATTTTAAGCGAACTGTTTCAAATCTCCAGGCTCAGAGCGGCTCTAGGCATCAACGTTCACTTCATCTGAACAAGCAGGAGGTCAGTAAAGGACTACGGGGCACCCACTGAACACCAGGCCAGCATGGGTCACAGAGACACTAGGACAGACTGGACATCCCTGCCTGCAGGGCTGTCTGCTGAGTTGGGGAGCTGGGCACTAAACCCAGCCTCGCAGCACAGCAGGAGAAGGGTTGTATGGAGGATGCACAAGGCTAGGGCTGGGGGAGGCCAGAAAAGGAAGTGGTGGTCTCACTCGGACGTCCAGGAAAACTGCACAGAGGAAAGAGCATGGGAGCTGGGCCTGGTGGCTGTGTGCAGTCTCGGCAGGCGGCAGCAGAAACCAGCCCAGGAGCGAGAAAGCACACGCCAGCACCGTGAAGTGTAAAGAACAGAGCAAGCGACAGGGAGAAGGCTCAAAAGGGCTGGCTGATGGCCACAAGATGTGCCAGGGCCAGCGTGTAAGGGTCCTGAATGGCACGCTCAAGTGGTAGCTCCAGGGAGCCAGTGAAGTTTGTAAGCAGAGGAGTGAGCACAGTGAGAAGGATAGGGTGAAGAGGGGGGCAATTCGATGCCCAGAGCACATCAAGGGGACCAGCACAGTGAAGAACGACGTGGCCTGAGCCAGGGCAGGAGATGGTGGGACAAATGTGAGACCACGGTTCCCCCTCCTCCATTTTCTCAGGACCACTGGCATTTAAGCCCACGGACCCACAAGGAAACACCTTGACTCAAAGTCACACAGCAACAACAGCAAAGCTCAATAGAGAGCTCCCAACCCTGCCTTCCCAGGTCTGGTTTCTGCTCCTGTGCTGAAAATGCTCCCGGAGGGGAGAGCAAACCCATGGCCCCAAACCTCCAAGAGCTGATCAAACACAGAAGCACACTGCATACATTTGGAAGGGGAGGGAATGGGCCGTGAATAACTGACACACGCACACCCAGATTTCCCGGCGGCCGGCCTGAATAACAGGACACATTTAGTGCATTTCCTGAACAAATAGAATTTCCCAGGCATTCGGGGAAAATGTCCTCCTTGCATTCCCTCAGCCCCCCTCCATCTCACTACTCCAGGGAGCTGGGTCACCCTTCCTAATTTCCCAGAAACTTTCTCCCTGAACTTGAGCAACCTACAAAAGCTTCTCCAAGATCCCTCACGCCCCTAGGCATCCTCACTGGGGCGGCTCAGGCAGCCAGAGGCATGGGAGAGTGGTCTGCATGCCCCATTGACAGAAAGTCACCGTGGGCGCAGAGGGTCACCAGGCATCCCCGAACCCAACTCCAATCCAGGGCACAAAACGCGCCTCAAACAGCCGTCCTGGGGGCATCCACACACGCCAGACACTGCTTCTTTTGGTAGAACAACGAGGAAAAGAAAAAAGACAGGTGGGGTGTGAGGGAGCCTCAAACGGAAGGAAGGGAGGGGTACCAAGGTAGGAAAGGTCAGCCAGCCTGGGCTCAAAGTCTACCTCCACCACTGAGTTTACTTGGATAAGCCACCCTACCTCTACTGGAAATCTTTTCCTCATCTGTGAAATGGGTATGAAAATAAATTCCGTGTAAGGTTATCAGAATTCGGAGCCCTCCTGTGACTGTTAACCATTAGCAGGGTTCAAAGGAATCTAATAGTTAGCATATATCGTTAAAAGGCGAGAAAATTCCTAAAATGTTACCAGGGAAAACCAGACGGGCGCACCCCTGCGTGGCAAAGCCGGGAGCCGCTTGGCCAGCCGGAGCGCATCAAGGCGCCAGGCTGGAGCCGAGCCGCGCACCCCGAGCATCTGTGCGCGCAGGTGGAGCGGGCGCGTGGGGACAGCAGGTGGGCCCGCGCGGGAGGACCAGGGGCAGCCGGACCCACCTGAAGACGCGCAACAGCAGGCAGGCGATGAGCAGCGCGGTGAAGGCGCACGCCACGATCACAGCCGCCTTCAGGGTGGGCAGGTCGCGGAGTAGGCTGGAGATGCGGGTCACCAGGGTGTCACCGCTGCTGTTGGAGCTACTGCCGCCGCCGCCCGCCGTCCAGGTGGCGTTCCCGGGCCCCGGGCCGGGCTGCGGCGGCGCGGCGGACTCGGCTCTGCTGGCCCGGGCGCCGGGCGCGGCCAGGAGCGCGAGCAGCAGCAGCAGCGGCAGCGGCAGTGGCAGCTGGAGCGGCAGCGGGAGCGGCGCAGCGCGCATGGTGCGGGCGTAGGCGCGGGCCAGGCGGGGCGCGCGGCGGAGCCCCGGGTCCCGCGCGAGCGCCGAGGCCTGCACCGGGGCGCCCGCGGCGGAGGCGGCTGCGCGGGGCTTGGCAGGAAGCTGCGGCGCCCGGAAGAGCCCGCGCCGCCGCCGCCACCAACACGTTGCAAGGAGTCATTCGACGGGCCGCGGCCCCACGTGGGCGGGGCAGGCCACCAGGCCCGGTGCGTGCTGCGCTCCGCTAGCCGGCCGCCCCTATTCCTCTGGGACCCGGGACCCGTTGGAGAAGTAAGAACAGCCAGGCTCACTCTTCTGCAGGCGCTGTCCTGCCCGTTTCATGTTTTATTTCTTTTAATCCTAAAACCTCCTTAGGAGACAGGTATTTGTCATCCTCCTTTAATCGTTGATTTAGGACCCAGAGAGCCAGTTCACAGCAACCCAGATTGTCAGACTAAGAATCAAAGACCGTGGAGGGAAACCTCCGTTTCACAGATGGGAAACTTAAGGCTCTAGAGGGAAGAGGGTTGCCCAATGACCTAGGCATTGCATATATTTCAATACCTCCCCAATTTCCCCCTTTCTCTCAAAAGGGGTTTCTTATCTCATGGCTTGCGATTTTTCAGGCGTTCTGCACCTCTGCTGATGAACTAGACTGAGGTGTGCATTTCTGCATTCATACCTTTGCTGTGGAACAGCAGTGGGGCAGTTAGCAGCCTCCCTCCCAGGCTCAAGTTTCAGACTCCAGGGAGTAATTGGCTTGCTGCCTCTGGTTTGTAGGCTAAATGATGCTGAAGTGGAGAAAGACCTTTACGGAGGTTCTAGTGGGAGGCCCAAAGGTGGGAACTGATGGAGGGCACAGAGCGCTTTCCTGGAGAACTAGAAGCTACACTGAGGGCCTCAGGTTCCACCTTGCACCCTGAGGATGGATCCTGGCAGGAAGCTCTCCAATGGTGGGAAATCAAGTAAACACACATGACAAAGATTCAACGACCTTAAACAGCTCATTCTTGGTCCTGCTAGAGAGAGAGACAGATAAGTAAAGATAGTACAGTGTATTCCTTAGCCATTGCTGCCTTGAAAATTACCCCAAGACTCATCCGCTTAAAAGAATACATATGTATTATCTCACAGTGTCTGTAGGTCAAGAATCTGAGCATAGCTTAGCTGAGTCCTCTGCTTCAGGGGCTCTCACAAGGGTGCAATCAAGGCTGGGGCTGGGGTCTCATCTGAAGACTTGACTGGGGAAGGATCCAAGCACAATCAGTAGTTTTTGGCCACATTCAGTTTCTCACAGACTGTTGAACTGAGAGCCTTCGTTCCCCACTGGCTGTTGGCCAGAAGCCACCCTCAGTTCCTTACCATGTGAGCCTCTCCAACATGACAGCTTGTCTCGGCCAAATGTGCAAGTCCAACAAAATAGCAATGTTGAGAGGATGTGGAGAAAAGGGGACCCTCATACACTGCTCATGGGAATGCAAACTAGTGCAGGCACTATGGAAAACAGTATGGAGATTCCTCAAAAAACTAAAAACAGAAATACTATATGACCCAGTGATCCCATTACTGGGTATTTACCCAAAGAACTTGAAATCAACAATTCAAAGAGACTTATGCACCCCTATGTTCATTGCAGAATTATTCACAAGAGCCAAGAATTGAAAGCAACCGAGATGCCCATCCCCTGATGACTGGATAAAGAAGCTGTGGTATATATATATATATATATATATACACACACACACACACACAATGGAGTACTACTCAGCCAGAAAAAAGACAAAACCTGGGGCCAGCCCAGTGGCACAGAGGTTAAGTTAGCATGTTCTGCTTCAGTGGCCCGGGGTTCTCCTGTTCAGATCCCAAGTGCGGACCTATGCACCATGTATCAAGCCATGCTGTGGCAGGCATCCCAAATATAAAATAGAGGAAGATGGGACAGGATGTTAGCTCAGGGCCAGTCTTCCTCAAAAAAAAAAGACAAAATCATCCCATTTGCAACAACATGGATGGACCATGAGGGTATTATGTTAACTAAAATAAGCCAGACAGAGAAAGACAAATACTGCATGATTTCACTTATATGTGGAAGATAAACAAATACATGGACAAAGAGAACAGATTAGTGGTTAGCAGAGGGGAAGGGGTTTGTGGGGGAGGCAAAAGGGGTAAAGGAGCACACATGTATGGAGATGGATAAAAATTAGATTAGTGGTGAGCATGATACGGTCTATACAGAAATTGATAAATAATAATGTACACTGGAAATTACACAATGTTATAAACCTTTATGACTTCAGTAAAATAATTAGAAAAAAAATGTGCAAGTCTAGAAGTCACTAGTCTACTAGCAAGACAGAAGTCACTATCTTAGGAAACCTAATCACAGACATCCCAACGCCTTTGCTGTAGTCTATTGGTTAGAAGCAAGTCACAGATCTCAGCCACACTCAAGAGAAGGGGAGTACACAAGGGCATGAATGTCAAGAAGCAGGGATTATTGGGGCCATGTAAGAAGCTGCCTGCCACTTTATGTGATACATTTCAATTTAGTGGGATGAACAATAATCAGGTTATCAGAAGACAGACCCCAGGAAGTACTATTTGAAATGCACATTGAAAATTACAGCATGACCCAGTGGTGAGAAATTTGGACAGATGACATGATTTAGGCCTTGTCCAACTCTAAAATACCACTTTGTGGTATGTCGAAAATGTTGCATTGGTACACAGCCAGCATTACCATAGCATCAGGATAGAATCTGTAAAAGAAATCCCTTTAAAAGAGCACCTCTGACGTCCAGGATTTTGCAGCACTGCCCTCTAAGGCATAAACCTCAGACGTCACAGGCTCCCACTTTTGTCCTTAACAGTAATTCCTGTGCAATAGAGCAAAGAGGTCCTGGGTTTGGAGACTCAGCCAAGATGACAATTTTGACCACTGAGTGGCCTTGGCCAAGGACTTAACCAACAAATCCCAGTTTTTTAAATATCTAAAATGAGGACAATAAGACTGAGCTCAGTGAGGTCACTGGAAGCATTCATAAGAAGAGAGAAAATATTAGCACTCCTACCCTTCTTTTGCCACAATTCATGGACTGACACAGACTTGTTTGGTCAGTTAACATCGACTTAACACCAAGAATGTAGAGAGCACAAATGTTAGATGTTTTTAGTAAAGTGAAACTTTAGAATCTTTCCTTCTTCCTGATTGTTTGCTGGGAAAATCATGACAACAAAAGGCTTACTTATAAATTGCCCTAAATTAGAGTTCATTAAACATTCTGATTCAACCAACCATAAGAAATGACATTTTTAACATGGAACACTGGTGACAGGCAACAGAAACCAACTGGCTGATTTCAGAAAAAGGGATTTTATCAGAAGCATGTTGGGTTGCTTCCAGAATCAACTATAGGCTACAGCAGAAGTTCTGCAAGTGTGGTCTGTGGATTCCTGGGGCCTCTGAGATCTTTTCAGGGAACCCATAAAGTCAAAACTAATTCCATAATAATACTAAGATGTCATTTGACTTTTTCACTGAGTTAACATTTGCACAGATGGTGCAAAAGCAATAGTGATGAAAACTGATGGTCTCTTAGCATGAATTAAGACAAACTGTACTCCCAGTAATTGTATTCTTCACAACTATGCACTATAGGAAAAAAATGCCAGTTTTACTTTAGAATGTCCTTGATATAGCCATGAAATTATTAATCTTGACTCTTGAGAACAGATCATTTTAATATTATATGTGATGAAATGGGAAGTATGAATAAATCACTTCAACTGCACACTGAAGCATGGTGATTGTCTTAAGAAAAAGTACGTGCAATTGTTAGAGTTGCAAACTGAGCTACCCACTTTTTTCATGGAACACCGTTTTTAATCAAAAGAGAGCCTGAAAGACTTCAGATCTGGTCTTTGGCAGGCATTTTCTCAGAAAGGAATGAGATGAGCCTGTCATTTCAAGGATAACAACTGACAGTATTGTAGCCAATAATAAAATTCAAACCTTCAAGGACAAGCTTGAATTTTTAGAAAACTTGTCACTTAGGATGCTTTCTGCTGTGAGCTGGACTGCTTCCCAATACTTCAAGACTTTTCTGATGAGCTTGGTGGCGATACTAAAAACTGTGGAGTTTTATATTGTATAATGAAATACGTCAAAATTTTGAAGATCTGCATAAATCAGCAAACCAGTTTTTCCAAATGACCAATACACAATGTTACAAAATCATGTACAGGTAAAAGATCCATTCAAAGTGCAAAATAGACCATTGGATTTTGATGAAACAGAGTACAAAAGTTCATTGATATGGGGGCTGGCCCCGTGGCCGAGCGGTTAAGTTTGCGCGCTCCGCTGCAGGCGGCCCAGTGTTTCGTTGGTTCGAATCCTGGGCGCGGACATGACACTGCTCGTCAAACCACGCTGAGGCGGCGTCCCACATGCCACAACTAGAAGGACCCACAACAAAGAATATACAACTATGTACCGGGGGGCTTTGGGGAGAAAAAGGAAAAATAAAATCTTTAAAAAAAAAAAAAAAAAGTTCATTGATATGGTTCCAGAGTTCACACTGGAACTAATCTTTAAGAAACTCCTAGTTGCAAGAGCATATAATACTTGTAAATATCTATGCACCCAACATAGGAGCATCTAAATATATAAAGCAATTATTAACAGACATAAAAGGAGAAATAGATAGTAATGCAATAACAGTAGGGGAGTTTAACACTCAACTTATATCAATGGATAGATCATCCAAACAGAAGATCAATATGGAAACATTGGCCTTAAATGACACATTAGACCAGGTGGACTTACTCCATCCAAAAACTGCAGAATACACATTCTTTTATAATGCACATGGAACATTCTCCAGGATAGAACACATATTAGGGCACAAAACAAGTCTAAATAAATTTAAGAAGACTGAAATAATACCAAGTGTCTTTGCTGACTACAACAGTATGAAATTAGAAATCAACTACAGGAAAAAGACTGGAAAAGCCACAAATCTGT